GGCTATAACAGCACCGACATAGCGGCTAGAACAGCATACAGCTCCGAAATTATACAGCACAGCACAACAAAACAGCATACAACACAACTAGGTAGTATTCAACACAGCCTACTACTCACACCTCAGCTCATCATTCTAGAGCACAGCAAAATCATATAATACAGCATTTAAATTCATCAATAACAGCCAGCTCAGCACAGCATTAACATTTATTCAGCACATCATAATCATCATTTTCAGCAAAGTTTAACGAATAAAAGCATATCAATTCAACATTCTTCTACGCGCCCGGCGCACCCAAGGTCGCGCCCAGCGCAGCTCAAACAGAGAGCATCAGGGGCCAACACGCCCAGCGCAAGACTGCTCGCGCCCGACGTGGCCCCTCATGCACCTGGCGCAATTGAGAATTGTGCCTAGCGCTTTCCAGGCAGAGACTCCATGGAGTCCCACGCGCCCAACGTGCCTGGACCCGCGCCCAGCGCAGGGAAGGCAGAGACCTCCCCTTGGTCTCACGCCCAACACAATTTGAATTGCGCCCAGCGCCCTCCTGGCAGAGACTCCCAAGGAGTCTCGCGCCCAGCGTAACCAGGGTTGCGCTCAGCGCAGAACCACCACCCAAAATGTTGCCTGCGCGCTCGGCGCGATTCCTGACCCGCCTAGCGTGGGCCAACCAGAGGCTCACCTTCTCAAGCTCGCCCGCGCACACATCTTTGCGCCCGGCGGGATTGTCAAAAGGAAGCCCCCAGGTGGTCTCGCGCCCGGCGCGAAGAACGCGCTCAGCGCAAGGCTCAATAGCAACCCATCCAAGTTCAAAATTTTGCCAAAAACCCTACGAGAATCAACAGAAAAACCACATGCATTCCAGCCAAAGTACCACATTTTCAACCAAGAATTCAAAAACACCAACCTTTTTCACATGCAACCATAAAACAAGAAAAACCCAAAATTTCTTCAAAACCCCACAAAACCCGAAAACCCCAATTCATCATTTTTCAGCAATCTCAGCCCAAGATCATCCATCAACAAGCAGCAAATGAATATACAACCGATAAGAAGGTGGCTAAACATCCCTACCCGTACAAGTTTCATTTATTCACCTTCCATACTTGTAATCAGTCACATTATACTCTTCTTATCAATATTATAAAAACAAACTCCTGTGATTTAATTATTTCCAGTTACATTTGTTTCAAATAACTAAAGTTGTTTTCTGTCATTTTCCTAAATCATTGGTGAACGGTGAAAGGAGATTATGTGGTAACTTTGTTACTTTATTCCAACTAAGAAACAAAAGTAAGTGTATGTTATCAAATATATTTGTATATATAAAGAGAGAGAAATGGAGCTTTAGTACTTATACTTGCATTTATCGTCATGAAATTTTGCAGAATTTTTTCTTGACTTTAGACTATATCTTAATTGAGTGTATATTTACCTACATCTGTTACCGGTATCCAAGTATTAATATAAAATCCATTACCATTTTGTTTATATAAAAAAAAATCCTTATAAAAAGGTCCGAATAAAATTTTACAAGTACCAATATTAATGTATGACTAGAACTACCATCATTGTGTATTGTTTGGCCGTTGACCTTACGTTAAAGTTGTGTGATATTGTCATGTTTGTCTGTTTAGAGGTTGATGAACCTAACACATCACAACTTGTACATTTTAATTTGCATTTAGGAGAGTCAACTTCCCCATCCAATAGTCTTGATACACGTGTCCTAGAGACTTTAGAGGCATATTCCTCTCTCGTCTATAAATACAATCATGGATTAGTACTATTAGTTGACCCAAATAGGATAAAGAGGTAGGGAAAAAAATGGGATTTGGAGTTCGAATTAATGGCGTGGGCTTCTCCTTCATTCTGTTAACTTTCTTTGTACTATGTTCTGCCACTGATGAGAGCCATATTTTCTTCTCAAGTGAGTTTCCCTTCATTTCATCTTATTTTAAATATCTCCCTTTAACTTGATAGGTAATTTATAAACTATATGTATACGAGAGGGAACGCTCCAACTTTGTAAGGAAGACTTTGATAGATATAGTTCGTGATGATCCTTTTTTGTGGTTATTAATTAAAAGTCATATTGCTGCATTTTTGAAAGGCTCGATCTAAGGAAGGGAAGTAAATTAATCAAAGAACACAAAGTTCTCTTATCATGAATGACTTTTTTTTTTATAACAATTTTACTTAATTACATATTACATTCTCTTTTTCCCTAACATGTAACTAGAATATGAGCAGTCTTGATAAAAATGAATTTTAAAATAATTATTATAAAAATTAATAAATTTAATATATAGTAATTAATTATGTGACGACAATATAAAATTAGTGGATAAACTATTTTCTTTTGAGAGAGTTTATTTTAAGGTATAATGTATTTTTAGGGATCTTATTCCGAATATTATACCTAAAAATGTTATTCTCATGAACATGTTTCATGGACATTGATTAGTTTTAGAGAAAAATATATATTTTTTAATTAAAAAATGAAAATAAATTAAGAAATGAGGAATAATAAGTGAAAACAGGTGGTTATTAGAAAAAAAAAAAAAAAAGTAACTTTCATTCTCATGATAATATATACACGATACCCATGCCATCTTTCAGCATGAGAATAATAAACATGTCAAATATAAATATTTTACATTACTAAAATAAAATATACTCAAGAATATCTTTTTATAATCTTTTAATAAACACACGAATAAATATTCACATTTTCATATTCTCAAGAATAAAAAATTTATTACTTGAAACAAATGTCTCCTTAGAATATTGAGTAAATATTATTGACACTTTCTGAGATTCTGTGAAATTGCATAAAAATCTCTTACATTTTCTACCTTTATAATTTCGTGAAACATCATAAAGTATCACCGTAATTTACTCTAAAACATATAAAAAAATGGACGAATGAAATTCTAAATTGATTTGTGCTAAATTTGGTTTGTATATGTTCCTTTATGATTGAAAGGCAATGTGAAAAATCTTTACATAGTCTTGTATTTCAATTAAATTATAATATTAATTGTGTAGATTTTAATTACTTTTAAGATTTTAATTTTTTATATATTATCCATGTATAAATTTTTAATTATATATTAATAAAAAATTGTCTTAGATGTAACCTTTAATTAAATTAATTATTACGTAAAAGCTTTTTCCACACATGATAATGAATATTATTCTCTTTATAAATTAGAATAATGACATGTTAAATAATAATACTTTTAAAAACTATTATCTATCAATGATATTTTTAGAATTTTATTTTAAATCAATCTCTTTTTCTTAACATATCATTTTTTATAATTATTTTTAAACGGAATGTTTGGTAAATATTACTATGATATTTCATAACAACACCATTAATAAACTGAACACTCACTGGAAATGTTTAAAAGAAAGTAAAGAATTGTGTGTAATATGATGAAACTTCAAAAGTGTCTGAATAATTTATTCTTAAGATCTTTATCATACTTACAGGTCATGAGACACACATGTTAGCTGTAAAAAGGTTTAAAATACCTTCCGCCATTAAATATGGTTTGGGAAGGGGAGAGGTAGAGAATATGGATCCACAAACTTTGGCAAAGACATTTGTAGAAGATTACTACTCCAACAAAGAGGAAACTTTGGTAGGAACATTTGTGGAGCACTACTACACCACCTTTGACACCAATCGAGGAGGCTTAGGAAATCTTTATCAGGAAGATTCTATGCTCACCTTGGAAGGACAGGAAATCCGAAGCACTTCCAACATCGTTACCAAACTCACTTCGCTCCCTTTCCAACTGCACTACCATTCCGTCTCCACTGTGGAGCAATCTCTCAAGTTCAGTCAGGTGTTCCATTTGATGCCAAAATCGCAAGGAGGAGGGTTTTATGTGATGAATGACATGTTCCGTATCAACTATGCATGAACGCAATACCATCTAATATCCAACATTAAATGACACGTGAAAAGTCACTAGAAAAAGCTTGTTTAAAACTTTCATTTGATAATTAAGACCCAACATGGGTTCTTTTTCATTGGATTGTTGAATGCTTGCTTGGTAATTGTATATGTTACTATACTATACTGTATTTAAAAATTTTGTTTTTAATTGGTTAAAGAAAACACCTTCAAGGATAAATTGCTGAAAGATTATCTCGTAATAGAGATTAAAAACTTTAATGTCACATATGTTGCTTAATTGTTTAAGGTTATTTTACAAAAGAGAAAAATGTAATAATTTTTTTAATTTTTTTATAGTATAATTTTAATATTTTTTTATTATGCCATCTTTTATATTTATTTTATAATAAATATATATTAATTATCATATATAAATTAATTAAAAATTAGATAAGATATAAAAATATAATTGATAATATAATAATAAATATTTTCTTAAATTTTAAAATGACGAATAAATAAAAATAAAATTTTACCAAAAAATTCAACAGATAAAAAAGAATGGGAAGGTATGTTTATTAGAAGTGTTAAAAATACTTTACTCTAACAAACTGGTTCAATAGTCTAACATTTTATATTAGATTAAAAGAAACTAAAATAGTGATCTAAAAGAAATAATAGTACGAGTTGGATTAGGCTGTTGATAATTTTCAAACTCAAAATCTATCATATCTATTAAAGTTGATACTATCTATGAGGATTTACATAATTTATTCACAAAGGTTAATTAATAAAAATTAATTTTTTTTTTGTTAAGATCGTAGTTTTAAAAACTGGACCGGTCATCGAACCGGTTAAGGTACTGGGTCAGTGGGTCAAAGGTTGAACCGGTGAGTCATTAGTTGAACCGCATGACTCGATTTTTATTTATTTATATTAAAAAAATATTCACATTAAATATATTTTATACTTATAATATTTAATAAATTCATATCTTATTTTAAATTTCAATTTTTCTATCTTATTTAAAATTATTTTTATTTTTATTTTGTAAAAAAATACATAAAAAATTACATGTTAAACGGTATATTAATACAAATTAAAAATATAAATTATATGTACATATATAATATGCTTGCAATTAATATCACAAAATAATATATGTAATATTTACATAGATATTATATTATTAAATATATAATTTAAAATTAATAATATACTATAAAAGTTATTTAAGTTGTATATATTGCAAACAAATATATTAGAACAAGTAGTCATTGTTATATTTAATAAGACTCCTTGTTTTTCTATTAAGAGATTCAATTTTCATTATTATTTTTTGTAGTTTATGGTTCCTTAAATTTTTTTTAAAAAAAAAAATGGTTGAACCGGTTTGACCCACCGGTTCATCGGTTGAACCAGAAAATTGACCGGTTCAATCCGGTTTGAAACGGGTCGACTGCATAACCGATCTAACTTAAGATTCAGACTGGCTGGACCACCGGTTCCCGGTCCAACCGGTCCGACCGGCCGGTTTGGTCCGGTTTTTAAATCACTGGTTAAGATCAATAATTATGTTTTTCTAAAATTATCCCTAAATTAATGATATACTTATTATATGTTTCTACAGTTTTTGCATTCTAACAAAATAAGATTATTTATATTTTAAGAGACATAAATTAAATGAATTTCACTTAATTGTTAAATTTAAAAAATGCTTTTGATACGAGTATTTTTATAAAGAAAAAAAATTAATTAAAGCTTGAGACAACCTTGGGAGGATCATACTAAAAAGCTAGCTATCGTAGTTAGAGAACTTAAGACCTTATAAATCCACACTAAAATATGTAGAATCTTGTACTTTCAATTTGGGATTCAAGTCCCATACCTTGCGATTGGATTTTAACATCCTACAACATTTTGCAACTTTGACGTCCACGTGTGTTGGCTGTGCACTAACCCCTTTAACTAGTCCCAAGCAAACACATTCCATTGTTGTCATCATTGTCACTCATTTATAGTTGGGATCGAGTCATGGTGAAAGGTGTTGATACCAAACAAAGAGAACGTCCTTGGGGAGAAGCGCACTATAAAACCTAGTTATTGTTGTTAGAGATTCTAAGAACTTATAAATTCCACACTAGAATTTCATACTTCTAATATGTGACTTAAGTTTCATATCTTACAATTGGATCCTAACATCTCACCATCAAATCTTTTAAAAAGGATCACATTAATTTAAAATTTGGATTTTATAATAAGAATTGAAAGTAATATTACTTTTTATAAAAACAAATTGAATATAAAAAAATAAGCTTAACTTTATTCAACAAGCTAATTGATCACAAAATTTTTTTCTCATAACCAATTTAGGTTAGGTTGTGTTAACACATTTTACTAGGATTGACTTAATATAGTTGGCCATTTTACAATTACTATTTTCGTTGCAAATCTTTGGTTCTTCTAACTTTTAGTTTTGTTTCAACATTTTGGTTTTTCTAAGTATTTCAACACTACTTTATACTCCCTTCATCCTTTTTTATCTATCGAAATTTTAGTAAAATTTTATTTCTATTTATTAATTATTTTTAAAATTTAAAACAACATTTAATTGTGATATTATCAATTATACACTTATATCTCACCTAATTTTTAATTAATTTATACAGGATAACTATTATACATTAATTATGAAGTAAAAAAAAGAGGATATAATAAAAAAATATTCAAATCATTCCATAAAAATTAAAAAAAATTATTATATTTTTTAATTTGTGTAAAACAACGTTAAACGATCATTATAAAATAATAGAGGTAGTATAATTTTTTTTATGTATAATCAAGTAATTATGACTAGTTTAAGTGGAACATTAATTAATATTATTTTGAGTAGAACATTTACTTTGTAAGAATATAAATGAAGTAGTTAAAAATATTATAAATATTTGTAAGTAAATAAATAGGATGATGTAGTCTAAATTTATATAAATTAAATGTTTGTTAATTTGTGTGTAAAAGGTTAAAATAACAAAAGTTTTGAAACAGACTAATATTTTTGTGATATAAAATATAATATTAAGACAAATATTAATGGTGAAATATCCATACCCAAAGATTAAAAGTTACATTACTTAATAGAAATATACAATTCTAATCACATATCCAATAATAGCAATATATAAAAAGAAAATAGATATATAGTGTCGAGTCTTATCCTACTCACAGGGCTTGAATAAAAATAAATAGATCTATCAAATGAACCGATCGTCCAAGATGTTATAAAATTATTAATAAATAAATCTTTGGAGTAGTTTTATTGATCAGCTAGTTGGACCCAGCTGTATTAGTTGAGATCCAAATTCAATAAATTGGTATCCTATTTTTTTTTAATTCGTGTTATTTAGTATAAAGTATTCATTGATGTTGATGAATAATCTATGTAAAAAAACATGATTGATTATCTTTAATAAAAAATTTCTTCTTAACGATATTTTTTTATTTATAAAATTTAAACTTAATACCTTTGTTAAAAAATTGAGTCCAACACTATACCCTATTCGTAAAGAATAAATAATTTATTCTCGTTTAAGGATGAATATTTTAGTTTAACTCCTCCAAAATAGAATGAAGATAAAAATAAGTAATTTGAGTGAAAAAAAAAATTAACATTGATATTCTAGCATCAAGAGAGCCTGTCATAAAAAAAATACAAATTATATATAATAAAAAATAAAAATAAATAAATAATAAATTATATATTTTAAAATTTTGGTAAATAATTAATTTGATTATATAGGATTATTTTTAAATTGATTTTTTTAAATATTAAAATTTAATTAAAAATATAAGAAATTAAGAAAATTTCATATAAAATACTTTTATTATAAAAAAAACTCTTAAAAAATCATTAAAAATTACTTATTAAAAATTCTCACTTTTAAAATAGTTATTCTCATTTATATGGAAAAGATTTGTTGCATTTCTACGTATATATTATATTGACAACTTTTTTTAATGGAAAATATTCAACCCATATCATTAATAATTTAGTACACAATATAATGGGAGATGTAATAAAAATGAGTTTGATATAGAGGTTCTTGCTAAATTGAGGACAACTAAATTTGGTTATGTAAGAGAAAAATTAACATCATAGTTTAAACATGTTATAAGAGCAACTCTAATGGGAGTTGCTTGACCCATCAAGCAACTCTAATCTCAGTTTCTTACCATTGGAGGGGTGTGACGTGACAATAGGAGTTTCTTGCAGAAGAGAGAGGGTTGCTTAGTAAAACAACCATTCTTTACCTTTGTGAACAGAAGGAGGCGCGGTGGTGAGGCAGTGGTTGGACGGCAGATGCGCAGGATTAGACGGCGGAGGCGTGCGGTGCGGTTGGACGGCGAAGGCGTGCGGGTGGACGTTCCTGAGCTTTGCGAGCGGGTGGACGTTCTGTCTGGACCTGGCGCGCGTGGCGAAGGCGGCGACATCAAAAGGAGTTTGAAAGAGGAGTTGAAGAAAAGGAAGCATGAAGAAAAAGAAAAAAAAACTCTCAAGAAGAAGAAAAAGAGACATTGGGTTAAAGAAATAAAAAAATTAAAAATTAAAAATTAAAAATTAAAAAAAAAACCTAAAATAAAAAAATCATTCTTGAAGCTGTTGCATCACAAGACTTGTGGATTTAGGGCATGCATTTTTTGGAACTGCAGGTTCGAATAATGAAATTACTGTGTTAAATGCATCTAATGTATTTAACGAAGTTCTTTTAGGAACTGCTCCGACAGTGCAATACACCATGAATAGAACCCAATATAATATGGGTTACTATCTAGTAGGTGGCATATATCCAGACTTTGCTACATTTGTCAAGACCATCTCCATGCCACAGGGGGAAAAAAGAAAATTATTTGCCCAACAACAAGAATCAATGAGAAGGGATGTAGAACGTGGATTCGGAGTGCTTCAATCTCGATTCGCAATCATACGAGGTACGACACGTTTTTGGGATGTCGCAATAATGAAAAATATAATTTATGCATGTATCGTATTGTATAACATGATTGTCGAGGACGAGCAAGACACCTATCAAAATTATATTGATTATGATGGTGTAGATGATGACATGTCAAGATCTGAAATATCTATAGGTGCTCATCCTAATTTTAAAACAACCTACCTTC